AGAAAAACTTAATAGAAAATCTTAATCGAAATTCAATCGAAAAATCTGGAACTGAAAACGAAAAGAAACTACCGTAAGATGATTTTTTTTCATAAAAGTTCAAAACACAAAAAGTGTTCAGAATAATGTTTTACTTCAGTTTGCTTGAAACCCATAAAAATGAGTTCATTTCGTGGGTTAAAACAGTTTCTAAAATCTGCATTGTTAAAATGAATCAAAACTACAATAACCAAGATCATCCGAATATAAGTTCTAATCGATTTTTTTAATAAAAAGTTAAAACATAAAAGTTGTCTAGAATCACATATACATGCCTCTGCTCAAATTTTAAAATTTATCGAGGTCGTTTACTATATTTTTAAGATGTACAAATCAATACAATTCATACTATAACAATAAACTCATAATTAAATTCTTTGTAGCTTAACTCCACCACTTCGGCCCTTCACTGCCGGCCTACACATATATCCCATGTGTCTCCCATATTCCTAACACTGCTTCGAAGCCAAACTTGCACGGGGCTATCGTCTTGAGTTTGACCCACACTCCCCGAATGGTTAGCATAAACGTACGCGCGTAAATCAAAGCACTCGTCTACTCATGAGAACGAGGCAACAATATACATATACAAAATATCTCACTCATGAGAACAAACAAAACAATGTCAAGCTTAAGACATTCAAATAAATCTCATAATTCTCACTTTTTTTATACATTCTTTCTCACCAACACTCAAATAAAACAACAATCCACGAAGTCATGGTGGAGTATAAGGAATTTATTTATAGGTTCCTAATTAATTTTAATTTCATATAACCATGAGTATGATTGCAACCATAAAATAAATTCATATAAAAACCCTAAACCTGACATACACAAATAATTAAAATAATTAAAATCAATCAATCAATTAAAAACCCTAAACCTGACATACGCAACTAAACAAAATAATTAAAATCAATCAATCATCTAAAAATTCTAAACCTTACATACATAACTAATCAAAATAATTAAATTCGATCAATCATCTACATATAAATATGAAATCAATTTAACATCAAATAAATATAAATAAATAAATAAAAATAACGAATTAAATATAAATCAAGGAAAGTGAATTTTATACTCATAATATTTTTTTAAAAAGATCAAAAAAATATTTAAAAAATTAATAAAACCACCAAAATAAAACCCTAACCATTCCTTTTTCTTTGCTCTCCTCTTTCTCGTCTCTCTGTTCTCTCTCAATCCACTCTTTGATTTTGACGTCTCTCTCTCCCTCCCGTGGCTGCCCACCTATAGAAAATTCACTTTACGCTATGTTTGGATTGAGTGATTTGGAGAGAAAATAAAAGAAATTGAGAGATATGTATTTCTCTTACTTATTTGGATAACCTAAGTAGAGAGAAATGGGAAGAAATTGAGAGAAATAGAGAGAAACTCATTTCTCTTATGAGCCTCATTTTCAATCTTCCCAAAAGTGGAGAGATTGGGAGAGAAAAGAAACTACTATTTTCATAATATCAATTTTGTCCCTATAAAAATAAAAGAAATAAAATGATTGAAAATATAAAAAGGTTATTTTAGTAATATAACATAAAATAATTTCTTTTCTTTTCTCTTAATGAAATCTAACCAAACAAGAATGAGAGAAATCACAATCATTTCTTTTCTTTTATTTATTTCTTATCCAAACAAAAAAGAGAGAAATCACAATCATTTCATTTCTTTTCTTTTCTCTCATAGGTTCCCAAACACAGTGTTAGTGTCTAGCACGTTATACATAAGTCTAAGTATATTATGGCTTTGTTTGGAAAGCTCAACTCGGGGTTTTTTTAGGCTATTTTAGTCACAAAAAATAAAATAAATGTTTTAACTTAATAAGATAAAACATCATATCTAATCCATAATCATTACATTATTTCTCTTAAAACAAATCAAAAAAGCCATAAGCTCTTCCCAAACCAGATTTTTTAGCCCCAGGCTAAAATAGTCAAAAAAGTTAAAAAGTCAAAAAGGCAATCCACTTCCCAAACGAACCCTATAGCCTAATTGATTATTATATTTTTATTATAAAAATACAACATAAATGTAATATATATAAATATAAATATGATATATATTTTATCAATATATAAATACATTTTTTATAAACAATATAAATATATCAATATTCAAATTAATTACCTATAATTAAATAACACATTAAATTCTCATGCAACCACAAAATTATTAAAGCTAAAAATAAAATAAGATAATAATAATAAATAAATAAATAAAAACTTACGAAAAATTAAGATCGCTACAAAAATATTTTTAATTTCGTCCTTTAAAATTATTTTTTATTTTATATTGTTTTTGAATTTTTTTTGCAAAAAAAATTTGTTTATTTTTATTTTTGAAGAAATTTTTTATTTTTTATTCAAAAAATAATTTTTGTTATTTTTTTAAGTATTGACTAAATAATTTGTTATGATTTAAATATATATGGCGATTCAGTTTTTTTTTTAAATATTAAAAAATTTAAAATATTAAAAAATAAAAATATTTAAAAATATACTTATAAAATAAAATAAAGTATTTAAAATAAAAATTATATATTTGAAATAAAAAAATAAAATTTTATAAATTTTTAAATATTTGCAAAATATATTTAAAACATTTTAAAAGAATACAACACACAATTGTATGAAATACAATGCACATTAAATTTAAAAATTTTCAAAATACAACTCAAAACTGTTTTCAAAACTTATAACTAAACAAATTTTCTTTTTTCAAAACTCATAACTCAAAGCACAATTCCATACTCAAATCATGATTCTAAAAATAATTTTAAAAAATAAAATAAAAAAACATTTTTTTGGATTTTTTTTTAAATAGAGTTTTGAAAAAAGTTTAGTTTTCAGTTTTGAAAAGAGTTTTAAATTATGTGTTTGATTATGAATTTTGAAAATAATTTTTGAATTGAGTTTTAAGTAGTTTTAAATTGTGTGTTTGATTATGAGTTTTGAAAATAATTTTAAATTTTTTTTATTACAATCACAATTCCAAAACTAAACCAGTTAAATTTTTTATTAAATTAAAATAACTTTTATCAAATTTTGCAAATAACCGTTAGTTTTGCGGAGGCACAGAATTTTGCAAGTTGCTCTCGCTAGGAAAAATCACAATAATGCTTCTGTTTTTTATTCTCACAACATCACCGTTTACACTTTTATCTTTTACTGATGTGCACTCACAACTTCTTTCTTTCTTTCTTTCTTCCTTTTTTTTGTTTTTTTTTTGTCGTTCTTAATTTTAATTTTCTCTCACTTTTGGATTTTCACTCGCAAGCAGTAATGGAAGGAAACAAGTTAAAAATAAAATGAGATGATTTAAGAATTTTATAAAAACATTTGATGAAAAAATTGTAAATTTATTATTAGAGCATATTATATTAGATCAAACTTTCAAAAAGTCTGTGATTCAATTGGTCCAGAAGGAATCCAAATTATGACCAGAAATGAATTGAGTACTCATCACAGGGCGGGGACTAGCAAAGTACGGACGCCTTGAACTTTTGTTTGATCTCATATCTTCACAACACATTGACCATAGCCACAGACACACATAATTTGGCCATGTAGTGAAAGTTGCAGTTGACGTAAAATTAGCCATGCTTTGTTTTGTGACTGTGTAAATGACTACAACAACTACATTAACGTGTAGATGCCATATAATTCAGAATTAATAAATGATATTCTCATTCACAAAATTACAAATGTGAAAATTTCTTTCTAAAAATGGTGTTTTTCAAAACAAAATAAAAATAGAAGCACAAATAATTTGAGAAAGAATGACACCAAATGTGGAGCCAAAATAATAGAAAGAATGCACAGAAATTGAGATACAAAAATTTCCGTAAGCCAATTGTTTTGCTAGCATAAATCAGTTATCTTTTGTTTTAAATGGAAAATTGTGTGGATGGTTAGAAGATTAATTTGTTTGACTTATTTTAATTTAATTATCAAATGAATAGTTGTAGTTAGTTCGTTCTATGCATACAAATACAGCTCTAACTAGTAAATAATATCTTCCAAATGAATCCTTCCTCCATATCCATAATGCATTGTTTCAATTTTACCCTTCAACAACATAATCAAATTGCAACAGATAACATATATATCATGGACAGAACACAGCAGCAAATCTGAAAAATTTGTCATGAATAATTTATTTCATGATAAAGACAAATTTTCCACCAACACTATAAATAAATAAACTCTTTGCATTACCAACATAGAAACAGTCAGAATTGGTATAGAATCGAAACAAAAAATAATTCATAGAAATTGACAGAGCAAAAAATGTAGGAAAAAAATTTAACACATATTGGATATGAATATTTCAGAGGAAGAAATTTTTCAAAAGTAAAAAAAAAATTCCACATGTATCACAATTTCATGTTTGAACCGAAAGGATAACAACGTGTTTTCCCAGATGTCCAACAAACACAAAACATGGAGACAACAAAAAATGGACGATTCAAAATATACTACAGCAAATTGGGTTGAAGGAGACGAAATCCCAAAATAAATAAATATGTTTTTGTGTATCTCACAATCGACTGTGGCGAGGATGCGAGGTTACTCTTCAATTAGGGGACAACAGCCGATTTGCACTCCGATCGACCTTCGATGGTTGCTCTTCGATGGTCGATCTTGTGAAAACCCATATTTAAATTATTCTTAGAAGAAAATAAATAAATTAATTAATTAATTAATGTTATTCAGAACCTACCTAAAATATAGAATAGTGAATATATATATATATATATATATATAGGAGAATCAGATTCGGTGGCAAAGGTATGCCACATGCTAACTTGCATGTTGGCTTGGTGAATTCCACCAAATGATGGCTTTTGGGTAGAGTGAAGTTTATGGCAAGGAATAACATCATGAAGAGAGAGAGAGAGAGATCTATCTGCCTATATATATCATAGGTAGACTTAGTTCATGGACACATACAAACAAAAGAATGAGTATATACGGGTGAGGAGAGATTCAGTAGAAGGAAAAGAAGAGGGGAAGGTTACGGAAGCAAAATTTTTCTACCACTTCATCACCCATTTGAATCCTACTATTAAGTAAGAAAACCCTCTCAATCCTCTCATTTTTTTATATATTTGAAATTTTCAGATTATATATGATAAATTGTCTAAACAGTGTTGAGAATAATCTGTTTTGAATCTGCCAACATGCTTACCCAAATTTGTAGATAATTTTATACTCATAATTTCGAGATGATTTCTTCTACAAAGTTGTTGATAATGATGTCTAGTTCATCCAAGAATTTTGGAAACAATTTTTGAGCTTTTTACGAATTTATACAAATTTTTAACTAAATTTGAAACTGTGTTGAGAATAATTTGTTTTGAATCTGCCAGCATGTTTATCCGAATTTTTAGACAATTTTATACTCAAAATTTCGAGATGATTTCTTCTACAAAGTTGTTGATAATGATGTCTAGTTCATCCAGAAATTTTGGAAACAATTTTTGAGCTTTCTACGAATTTATACAAATTTTTAACTAAATCTGAAACTGTGTTAAGAATAATTTGTTTTGAATCTGCCAACATGTTTACCCGAATTTTTAGACAATTTTATACTCAAAAATTTCGAGATGATTTATTCTACAAAGTTGTTGATAATGATGTCTAGTTCATCCAAGAATTTTGGAAACAATTTTTGAGCTTTCTACGAATTTATACAAATTTTTAACTAAATCTGAACTGTGTTGAGAATAATCTGTTTTGAATCTGCCAGCATGTTTACCCAAATTTTTAGACAATTTTATACTCAAAAATTTCGAGATGATTTCTTCTACAAAATTGTTGATAATGATGTCTAGTTCATCCAGGAATTTTGGCAACAATTTTTGAGCTTTCTACGAATTTATACAAATTTTTAACTAAATCTGAAACTGTGAGACAGATTTTACTATGTATTTGAAAATTTATTTTAAATTCTATACTAAGCCAAATCTGGTAATTTCTAACTAAAAGACGAAATTTGAGAAATCTAGTTTCATGATAAATTTTTAGATTATGGGTTTGATCTATGAATTAATCTAAATGAATAATGTTACTGATAGAGGGTTAATACCGGGTATGCAGGGTGAGCCCTGGTTTTTAATAATTTTTAAGTAAATTGTGTCGCGAAACCCTAAGATGGCACGGGGATTATTTGAACCCTTATCGGTAATTGGTTTTGGAATAAGGGTGGATGTGCGGGTGGCACATAGAGAAGTTACGTACCCCTGACAGACCGTTTCCTTGGGGCAGACCACGGATGTTACGGCCTGGGTATATAACTCCGGGCGTAGGCATCTTTGGTAGTTCTTGAATAATTGACCAAGGGGGGTTCCAAATTAACCGTGGCCATGACTTAGTGGTTGGTAAGTTAAACCTCTTTGGTGAGATTTCAAGGGTCACCTAAGTTATTAAAATTATTTGAATTATTTTAATGGTTGTAATTTATGTTTACGATTATATTTTTATCTCGTGTTTATAATCTCATTATTTTTCTCAAAAAGAATGGTAGGTTGGTTATGTTTTCTTACTGTGTTGCAAAACTCATGGCATATATTTTGTTGCCCTGGCGTTTCATGCCAGATTATGTCGAATAAGGGATTGAGGCTGAAATTGGAGCTGCTACTAATATCGAATCTTGGCTAACTTAGAGTCAAGATTTTATCAAAATAAAATCCTGTTATCTCTTGTATTAGTATTTAACCATGTTGTAACGTTGTGTGTGAACTTGTAGTTTTATTTTGTTGTTGGACCTTGACTATGTAAGAATTTAAAATTTCCTAATTAGTAGTTAAATTTTTTATCTAGCAAGTTATTGTTATGATGTCTCAACAAAAAAAAGTAAAAAAAAAATTGGGGCGTCACAGATCTGCACTCTGATCGGCCTCAGATGCGTATAGTAACCGTGGCTCTTCTTCTTTGGCGAAGGATTCGTCAAAATCGCCTTATTCTTTGTGTAATGGTGCCTTAGAGCATCTCCAATGGTTAATTACTTTTTTCACCAAATCTGAGTAAAAAATAGCTGATTATCTTAATCTGATATGGCTTGCTCCAACGGTGTGCATCAAAAGGGAAGGGTCGTCCGGTGGATCGACCGGTAAGGCTATGAATTTTTATTTTTTTCCCCTCATTTTTTGTTCCCAATTTGTTTACTATTCGTTTTTTGTTGCCTCCAACAATGATTTGCTTCTAAAATCTGATATAAACACATTATCCATATGCCAGACAAGTGATACGATCCAGACAAGTGATACGATCATAGCTAAAAGAAAACATAGCATAATGAATACCTTAAAATCCATGATGTTCACTTTATTTTCATCCTCTTCTTCTTCCTCCTTTTCTGATAATGAATCTGATGATGAATATATGGTCACACTTTTGGGGGCTTATGAGATGAATAATGCTAATATGATTCAGATTCTGCAGTCAAGTGATAGCTCAAAGAAAATAGGTGGTTCTGTTGTAGGCCATAAGTACATACGCCGCGATAGAAGGCAGGGTCATGAGAGGTTGTCTGCAGATTATTTTGTGGCAAATCCAGTGTATTCACCTACAATATTTCGGAGATGTTTTCAAATGCGTCGTCCTTTGTATCCTGTGAATTTTGAATGCAATCCAAGCACACAATTCATATTTTGTTCAAAAACAGGATGCAACTCATATTGTTGGATTATCTCCCTTACAAAAATGACTTCAGCTATGAGAATATTGTCATATAGAGTGACAGCAGATGTAGTTGATGATTATATGTGTATCGAGGAAAGCACTGCAATTCAAAGTTTACAACAATTTTGCAATTCAGTGATTGAAATCTTTGGACCAAAATATCTGAGATCTCCAACACCAACTGATATTGCTAGATTACTTGTTATTGGGGAGGTTCGGGGATTTCCGAGTATGTTGGGAAGTTTAGATTGCATGCATTAGGAGTGGAAAAATTGTCCAAAGGCATGGCAAAGTCAATACGTAGGCCATCAAAAAAAGCCAACCATTATTCTTGAAACAGTAGCACCTTTGTTGCCTCAGTTGAATTTGTTCAAGAAAATCACATAATTTATTAATTGCCTTTTGCATGCCAGACTAACGGTGAGACAAAGAAATATAGTTTCGATTTGATTCACTGCTCAACTGTGAATTAAAATAAACAAGTACTCGTTCCCAAAATATAGCCATAGTTTGACTATTACCAGTAATGGGATCTTGCGAGACTGCCAACCAAGATCTGCATAAAGTTTCATCTTCTACAATTGTGAACGCTTTACCACGAGAAACACGAGAAATTTCTGAAATAAAATGATTATCAGTGTTCTGCACTCGTGAAGTTTCCGACATAAAATTAATATCAGTGTTGTGCTCCAACATTTGTGATTCCTCAAACATTTCAAAATCTTTCATAGTTTGAAACAAATTCAGTAGATACAAAATCTAACTTACTAAAAAATATTAGAATGATATACACTCAACCTCAGAATCAGATAATATAAACTAAAGCTCACTGGGAAAAAAATTTATAATGACTCAAAACTAACAAAATTCACAGCATATAATATAATGCTATTATGAAAATGAAATACTTTGTCAACCCAACTGAAATTCACAGCATGATATTATGAAACATATATATTTTATAGAGCACAGTAGCAACTGTAAATTTTCAAAATACTCTGTCAACCCAACGGTAAATTATTGAAATTGGTGATGCAGAACGACTAGTTCTGAAATATGTATATGGGATGTAACTTTTTCAATTACATTTTCATGGGGATTTAAATTTGTATCACCCTTCAATTTATTCTTAGTCCACAAAATAACCTACCTATTTGAACCTGTTTCTCAAAATAAACCAGTTCGCACTTGTTCCACAAAATATATGCAGAATTGAGGGAACCGGTCGACCGGTGGGTCAACCGGTTGAATATCTGGCTGGTTGACCGGTTGGCTCACCCCAACGTTATAGCACAATGAAATACTGAAATCTGGAGCTTGTCCTCAGTTTGATGAAAGTTTTGTTCCGTTCTCATTTTGATATCAATTTGGTGAAACCATTAAAGAGAGAAAAAATGACTTTTTCATCAAATTTCAAATCTGATGTAGGGTTTGATGCACCGTTGGAGATAGCCTTAGTTGAGGGAATGGGTATGTGCTAGATTTGCTGCTGTGTGTGACAGAAAAGGGAATCAAACTGGGGGTAGTTTGGTAATTTCAACATTGCCTGAAAGGCTTCAGGCAGCACGTGATGGGTTTTGTCTCGTATGGCTGAAATAGACTAATTTGTTTGCATATGGCTAAAATAGCCCAGCAAGGATCCCAAACGAGGGCAAAATAAAATTAGTACTAAAATAAAAACAACCATTTTATTTATGAATATACGAAAAATCAGGGTGATGAGCTTTTCACCATTTTATAGTGTCTTGGGAAGTAGGTTAGAGATTAAAATAGTTAATAAATACAAAATAGATGAAAATAATTAATAAGATAAAATGTCATATTCAAACTATAATAAAATAGCTAATAAAGACAAAATACTCTAAAATAGTCAATAAGACAAAGCCTTCGTTTGAGATGTGGATTAACTTTTTGACTATTTTAACCTAGGGTTAAAAGTCTCGTTAAGGATGGACTTTTTGACTTTTTTGATTTCTATGAGAGAAAAAATTAAATGATTATAACTTGGATGTGACATTTTAGCTTATTTTATCTTTTTGTAACTATTTTAGCTCCAAAAAATTTATGCCAAACATAACAAAAATATCACATTCAAACCATAATCATATAATTTTTTCTTTCACAATTATCAAATCAACTAAAAAAAAAAACAACCTTTCCAAACAAAAAATTATTTAGAGAATTGATCCACTTTTCAAACTATTTGGGAAACTAACTTGTTTTTGAAATTGCATTTTGAAAATGCGATTTTGAAATTAAAATTGCATTTTCAACGTGCAATTTCACATTGAAATCACATGTTGAACATGCAATTTCACCATGTCATCATAAATTGCATTTTCAACCTATGATTTCAAAGTGAAATTGCATATTGAAAATGTAATTTCAATTTTAACATGGCATTTTTAAAATGCGATTTCAAAAAGTAAGTTAGTTTTCCAAATAGTTTGAAAAGTGGGTCAATTCTCTAAATATTTTTTTTTAAGAATATTTAAAAAAAAAACTCCCCAAACACAACTTTTTTAACCAAGCAAAAATAATTAGAAAAAACTAACTAAAATAATCAACTTTCGCATTATATTTTACGTCATCTTCTTCTTATATTTGACATCCAATAACTAATCCTACTCGCGTATATCATAAATTAAATAAAAAGCTACTCATTGACATCAATTATTTTAAGGTGAATTTTTTTTAAGGTCCCTGGTATTAAGATTTTACAGCATAAAGGACACTCAATATTTTCATAATGTCTAAGGTCCCTCAAGTTGATCCAGAGAAAATTAGTCCACAAAAATTTCTCTGTAGAGAAATTCTGGAAATTTCTCTGGACTTTGAAATTTCTCTCCAAAGAAATTCTGGATTTATCTCCAGAGAAATTTTGAATTTCTCTGACTTCAGAATGTGTTTTAACCAAATTTTTCTGACTTTGAAATTTATCTCCAGAGAAATTTTGAATTTTGTGTTATGTGCATGTGTGTGATGGGTCTGTGATAGCCGTGTGTGTGTTGTGTGTTTTGTAGTGTGTAATGTGTATCTATCTTCCTCTCCCTCATCCGAGTGTGCTGCTGTGTGTCTATATCAGTGTGTGATGCATGTGATATCTGTGTCTGCAGATGAGAAATCAACCCTCCTCAATTGGAGCGAAAAAATTCTTTTTTTCTATTAACCTTCCACTAAGTCATTCACCTCAGAAAAGCCTCAAAATCCCTTTCAAGCACTGGGTTTTGCTTGCTCATACCTCAAGACCACAAACTCAAAAACGATTCACAACGTTTCGACGAAGACAACAATAACGATGAAGCAAGGTCTCGAAATAGAGCTGCCATGAAAGCTTTTGCTGCGAAGCTCTTCGCCACCATTTCAGTTGTCAAAGCCGCTTACGCGGAGATACAAATTGCTCAGTTTTCTTACAACTGCGAAGCGTTTCAGTCTGCTGATGAAGCTGTGGTGTACAAATTGAAATCTTTGTCTAAGTTAAAACAGAGCTTCTTGAAGAAACAGCTCGGTTCTTCGCCCCCTCATGTGACTATGTTGCTTGCGGAGATTCAAGAGCAACAAAGTCTCATGAAGATGTTCGGCATTACGATGAACAAAATGAGGACCGAATTAGATACCAAAGAAAGCGCCTCAAATCCATTTTTTGATGAATTCCTATTGGAATTGGAATTGGAATTGGAATTGGAATGAAGTGAAATTGTTTCGAATTTGGAGAGGCAACTAAACCCAAGGCAGCAACTGAAGAGTCAAAAATCGACCTATTCGAAGACAAATTTCTCTGATATATATTTAGGGACCTTAGACATAAAAAAATAATATGTTTTTGATCTCTTCCATTACGAAAAATGGGAGAGGGACCCTAGACTAATTTTCTCTTATTTTAATGGGACAATTACATTGTAGTGGGATTTTCAAAATTTAATTACTTATCAATTGAAAATTTTATGATTTTATAGTTTAATGTATATAATTTATCATTAATTAAAAAATAATTTTACAAATCTACACTGTAATGATATTTTTTCTATTTTAAATGATGTATTGAGATTAGTGTTTGGGGTTTGTTCATTTAATGTATTTTTTGATTTTTTATGAAAATATATGTAAAAAATATAGAGGTGATATAACTAAAAT